GCGAACGAGAGGGAGGGGGAGGCTTCTGGCAAAGAACCGGGGAGTGCTTCTCGTGGCCATGGCAGATTGTTAGCAACTGCGCTGGAACGATGAGGAGGCTGTGAAGTCAAAGCATCTGAAGTAAGGATTGAGTAGGATACGGAGGATACAATTGACTTGAGAGTACTGTGTAAGTAGGTAGGTTTTGGTTGATAGCGCGGCGGTCGCGCCGGGATGAGTTGCCCCGACGGGTCGGCCCCGGGGTCCGATTTAGGCATCTGATAACCCACTCGGGCTCCAGCTGCAGCAGCCCGCCGCAGCGATAAGTAGATAAGGATGTGGCTGGGCTGGGGGGGTGCCAGAAAATACAGGGCGGAGGAAACAATTGATCTTGAATCTTGGGGTATAATGAAAGAGAAGCTTAGGCTGAATGAAGATGCAGCTGCATGCCATTGACTCAAGGACTAACGCAGACTGCTTTCAATTGTTCATGACAATGCCAGGTAGGTTAGGTAGCACTCCAGGCCCGCTGCAGTGTGAAGGCCCTTCTCGGAGTCAGTGGCTCCGAAATAGGAAGGTATCCTACTGGCCCGCGGCCTCCCCGGCCTGGCCTCAGGCATGACTAGAACAATTGAAATGCAAATGGTTTTATGGTACGGTAAATAGTAGCAGTATCTACTAGAGTCTATGACACGCTTAAAATTATACATATGTAGGACCAATCGATGCACACCAGAAAATAAGATAAATGCAACAAAGGATACGATCGGTTTCTTATCAAGACCGCTTCCCCACGTTCTTCAGCATCTCGTCCAAATGCTGGCTGAAGTCAGTAGGAGCTCGGAACTACCGTTGATTGAGGATGACATACCTGTTTCTGCTCAACCGCTAATTTACCTTGGGTATCCTATTCCTCGGTCAGCGTAGTCACCCCTCGAAGAAATGAAGGTTCCTTACACTAATTATAGCCAGAACAAGCGAGTAATTGTTGTAAAGGAATCTCTCCCGTCTCTTCGCATCACCGCCAATACGGCTAAGCTTCGTCAGAAGATTGTCAAACTCAGCTGTCAAGCGCTTCAAGCTGTTGGCAACGGGCTCATCATCTCCTGCATCACTGCTGAGAACCAGTATCCCATGCAATAGCTGGCCAAACCGCTGCGTGAGGAAATGAGGCGCCGACGATTTGTTCAGGTCGTCGCCTCCGGCCAAGGACAGAGCGGATACCGCACTACGACCCGTATTCGCGGCCACTCGTTTCAATGATTCGCACTGGGTGTCCATGATGACCTGGAATCGTGGCCATAACTGCATGTTCACTCCGTTGATGTAAGAGTCGGCAACGGGGACCTTGCGACGCTGCAGCTCAAAAGCGGCGTGTTGATTCAATCGAACGCAGATCAAGACCCCTAACGCGTCCGTCGTGTGTTCGATCAGCTGCTTTGTCAGGGCTTGCCCCAGACCAAAGACTGGTTCGAAAATCTCGACCGCCTTGCGCGAAATTTGTTGGAAGGTCAATGTCGAGAACATCTCGGTCATGAACGAATATTCGGCAGACACATTATCCACAACGGCAAGATTGAAATTGCGGAATGGCACTTCAAGGCCATGGAAGGAGTTATCTTCCTCTGCTAGATAAGAAGAAATGGCAATCTGAGCACCAGTCCGCAGAATATCTACCCTCCTTCCTAGGGAAAACGGGTCGTGCGCCGCAGACCCTGCGCGACTGCCGGCAACTGCAGAGGCTACGATTGTCAGTGATATATTATCACACGATTTCTCATTCGGCTTACCTGTTTTGTGAGCTGACGGGTCTCCTCCCAGAACCTCGTTCCGGTCACTGGGGTAAATCTTGATTGACTCGAGCGCTTGACGATACCGCGTGAAGTGCGAAAAATAGTACCATCGCATAGTGTTGATATAAGCTTGCGTAATTTGCCCCGTAAGTGCTGGGTGGGCCCTGGAGATATAGCTGTATAGATCTTTGAATTTCACCAGCCGCTGCTGTTGGAGGATCTGAGCATTGATGTTGGGGGACCGTAGCGCTCTGATTTGAGACACCAAATAGTCCCTAATTCTTTCCACTGCCTATGGGAAAGGTCAACCTCAGCGTATAACACATGCACAAGGGCAACACTGACCTTGTTCTTGATGTCCGTGAGAAGCGGCCGCACGTCCTCGACGGATTTGGTGCTGTTCGGGCCCGAGACTTTGGCCTCAATGCTTGCCGACCGACTTTCCATCTCATTGAGCGCTTTGACCCAATTCTCATCGATCGGTCCCTCTGCAATCAACTTCACTGTTTTGGGAGAGATACTGATCTCTTCCACAGCAGGCCCAAGGAGCTGTTCAACATTGCGTCGGTTTTCCAACATTGCAGTCAGTTGGATTGAGCGAGACTGCAGAGTCTCTATCTCTGCCGAAACAGTCCCGAGTTCATTCTGGAAATCGTTCAAATATGTCTCCATCGAGCTCGAGACTTCGTCACAACTGGTGATAGCCGAATGTAGATCCTGAAACTTGTTCTGTTCTCTTTCGAACTGCTGAACGGTCTGAGCACCGACATCAGTACTGATAATTCGTCTGGGTTCATCCTTCTTGGAGACAAAATCCTCCAAGCTCAGCCCTTGGAAGTCAACGTCCTCCACAAGTTCCGAAGGCTTCGAGTCGGGGACAACATCCAGAGACGAGTCCCGGTTGGCATCCTGCTTCCCAAGAATGCCATTCAGAACATCGAGCGGGTCAGCAACATCGGATGGGCGGGATCTTGCAGCGATTTGTCTCAGCGGCGATCTGTCACCACGTGCGGTTGCGGGAAGGGAGGTGGTCGAATCACTAGGAGTCAGGAGGACGGATAAGGAGGAAGTTTGTCGACTGGACCCGGGACGGTTGTTTTGTATGTTAGGCGATAAGCGAGAGGATGTTCTTCGGGGAGGAAGGGGGGAATTGCTGCGACTGTCAACCTGGGGGCCCGAGGGAGTCGAATGGCCAGCAATGCGGTCTAGCCACATCGTAGAAGGCCGGCACGGAGAAGGGTGCGGATACCGGACAGCTTCCCGGACCTCATCGAGGGGGGGGGAGGGGAGAGAGGGAAAGGTGGATCAAAGGTGGGAAGGTTCCCCAAGAGGTAGAACTGACTTGACGAAGACGTGAGAGAAAAGAATGAGTGCTACCCAGCACCTGGTGAGAAGGAGAGAAGAAGAGAAATCAAAGTCCGAAGTGGTGGGTAGTTTGCAAGCACAGCACACAGCACAGCACCGGGGAAGTATACGGAGACCAGCACAACTTAGCTTAAGATAAGCCCAGGGCGAGATGCTACGGTGACCCACAGCAACCACGGATGTGGTTTCTCCGACTCTAGCCCCAAAGCAGACTAGCGACCACAAAACCCCGCCACAACAAGTGCCTTTTTTTCGCAGTCCATTTGTCGATTTCTTTTCGCCTGTTCCCCCTCTCTCTGCCTTCCATCCATTTTTCTCTCCTTCTCCTCCTCCTCACTCCTCAGCGTCCTTTTTCCTTCCACTCTCTCTCTTCAGGTTTTCCTTGCATTTACCTTCAAATCCATCACCATGTCTGACGAGGTACGTTATGCCAGCATTACTATGCTCTGATTGCCGACACCCAATCCGGCATCTTCCATTGTTGCATCACTGCAACTGCTGGGCTTCTGGGCTCCTGGGCTTCTGGAAGCCTTGCTTGCATCGTGCACCCCTTTCCCACCCCCACCTATATGTCCATTTGTTCCTGCAGGCAATGCATAATATCTTCCGTCTCTTCATTATACATGGTCGCCATCATGCCTATCATTGATCTATTATTGACTGACCGCCATCCTACAGCACCACGAGACCTTCGAGTCCGCCGATGCCGGCGCCTCGACCACCTACCCCATGCAGTGCTCTGCTCTGCGCAAGAACGGTCACGTTGTCATCAAGGGTCGCCCCTGCAAGATCGTCGACATGTCCACCTCCAAGACTGGCAAGCACGGTCACGCCAAGGTCCACCTTGTCGCCCTTGACATCTTCACCGGCAAGAAGTACGAGGATCTGTCTCCCTCCACCCACAACATGGACGTCCCCAACGTCTACCGCAAGGAATACCAGCTCGTGAGTGATCCAACGTGATACGGAACATTACAGTTGCTAACACTTCCACAGCTCGACGTCACTGACGACGGCTTCCTTTCCCTGATGGATGAGGATGGAAGCACCAAGGATGATGTCAAGCTCCCTGAGGGTGAGATTGGTGACAAGATCGAGCGCATGTTCAGAGAGGAGGAGAAGGACTGCAGTAAGTGGAAATCCTATTATGTGACCATTCTCAATTCCGCATCTAACCATACCCTACAGACGTCACTGTCCTCACCTCCATGGGTGAGCAGTGCTGCATGGATGTCAAGGAGGCTCCCCAGGGCAAATAAACGCCTTAATCGTGTTCACGGATCTTGTGACTGCCCTGTCAGCTTTTCTGTGCTCCAAAATGGCCTTGCTGTCTTCGCCCATGTGTCAGGTCGGACAAGACACATGGTCACGTTACGACATAATCTGCTTCAATATAAACTTGGGTATGTGAGCCAGTGGCGCTAGTCACGTTCACTTGGCAGCATAAATCGTGCTCTGTCAGAGGAACAGCTCTTGAAATCAGCACCGTCACGATAGTTTTACGAATAAAAAACCTATTATTGTTCCAACCAGGTTTCGCGCTGTAGTTGTAGCATATACATGTCTTCTTAATCACGTCTGTAATCACTTTGGAGTGATTTGCAATCATAATCTTTGGTTTGACCAGGCCTCGGCGAAAGAACATGGCCGTAAATTGCCAATCTTAAAAGGTTGTAAAGTGTTGTGGATACTGGCTATGTCACGGGTTGATGTACATTGTATGGTTGCGACAGGGGGAAAATTTTTTGATCAGTACGGGAAATCCATCTTACCATTCGACATTGACCCGTCCATACCTTAGGGACTCAGGTCCTCACTTCTTCATCTACTCTGCGACCACAAGAATGAAGATTACTGCCCTGGATGGAGTACATCACACGAGGGGTCTGTGGACAGGAAGGGTGCCGTGAAACGCGGTATTACCTTGACAATGGCCTCTGGTTTTGTAGGCGGGGTCACCAGCAAGAGGTATGAGATGATCATGACTTGCTCTCACAACCCCACCTTTAGGCGCGCTGCTGTTGCCGATCAGACCACCACGCCATCATCCTCTAGACAACTGACGTTATTATGCCTGTAGGGGCGGCAAGTGGAAGCGGATGCAGATGATTTTGGTACTCAAGGTCGAACGAGTCGCATAAAGAAAGCGGCGGTCGAAAAGGCCCAAAGGAGTAAGCATTCACAGACGCCCGCGGCGACGGTGGACCTCAAGTCATGCATCACTAACATCAGGCAGCTTACCGGGGTCGTCAGGCATCTCGTCTATTTCTGCAAGTCTATCAACTGATTCTCTGGAAACAATCTTACACCTTGGTCCAGAGCCGCGGCTTTCCGCCAGAGTTTGAGGTATGCCTGCAGTGCACGCTTTTCCTTTCCCAATCCGGAAATACCCGTGTTCACCGTCTGTATGCGACTAACCGGGCCAACACATAGAATGTGATTCGAGACCTTTGGGCGCTCCATCTGGATACCTTCGCGGACCAGATCAATGAACTGTCAGAGCTGGATGATGAACCGCGATTCTTCAGCTCTCAGCCTGCTTCCAGCTTTGATGAACCTCCAGAGGCGAAGCTCGGTACCACGCAGACGAAATGGCCTCGACTTATCGATAGTGTGGCCCTATGCTATATTGCCGCGCTGCTAATGAGGCTTCCTGTGAGCATTGAGGATTTCCATGGGTATTTCCACCCTGACAGCTCGTTTCGTTATCGTTCATACACTGACCTGAGCTCGATATAGGATGGCTATACGGGGAGAGATGCCCTTTATCAGAATCATCAAAGATATTCCCCGCGAGATGCGCGATCGACTCCCTCCGCAATTTATCGCCATTCTTGAAACTACGGTAAGTCCTGGCTGTCATCACGAACGGAGCGTTTTTTATGTCCTAATCGTGAGATAGAAATTGATTCAGGCCGAGCATCTTCATGGAGCCGTGGCAGATCTCCTTTCGTACTATCACCATCGATTCGACATGCAATTTCCGCCTTTGAACTGGCCCTTCTTGCTGTATAGATACATTAGGAGGCTTGCGCTGCCGAGTGAGTGGGACCTTGCTAGCATGTTACATTGCATCCTAACCATATGTGTCTAGTCGACATCTATCCCGCCGTCAAAAGGCTACAGCACCTGCTGGGGTTCTCTTTCGCATACCCCACGGGTACAAGTGGCAGGAGAAGACCACTTCAATTGCCGGAAGTACAAGTGGTTGTCCTGATTGTCATTTCTACCAAGCTTCTATTCCCTTTCGACGACTACAACAGATACCCTCTTTCTTCGAAGGAACCTTCTGTTCAGGTCATCGACTGGATGCTTTGGGCACAGAACCAACGGATTTTTGACCGTGGGAGGACCTCTGACGGTATGCTGGGCAAGGGGAATGAGATCTCAGTGACCGAAAAAGACATAATGAGCATGACCCCGTCCCAGATAGATGAGTATATGGATTGGTACGAGAGCTCCTGGCTCGACCACAGCAAAGGTAATACAATCCCTAAACTGCTTTTCTTTAGGGCGTCTAGACTGACTTCGACCTAGCACAAAATCCATTGGCCAGCTTCTTCCCAGTCAGTGTCAATGCAAGTGAGAGTCAGACAGCCAGCGCTTCCGTAGAGGGGAATGATGCGGAGGCTCTGCTTTCGATGCTGCGAACCTCTACGAGTCAACTGAAATCTACCAAGGTCATCACTGGGGAGAGTATTGATACACCCCGACCAGGCTCCGCCTACGCGCGCTACCGAACGGAGGCCGATCTTCCTGATACGGCAAGGCCCTTCTTCGAGACTACTGCCAAAGTAGCTGGAATCTCGCTCTCCACTCTTGTCAGGGCGGTGTCGCAGGCGGAACATAAGATAACCAGATGGCTGGAAGAGCACCGACGGGTTGAAGCGATCAAGGATACGTTGGACGCGGACTCCTCCAGAGAAACTAGCGAAATGGATGATCAAGATGTCTGAGACTGGAGAATGAGAATGACGAGATGTACATCTACAAGTGAGAATGCAGCTGCGTGGACTGTGCATCTTTGGCGGGGATGAATATAGAACGCAGTGTGAGAGCCTCGGCCTGTCCATGAAGTTCCCAGAGAGCCAAGGCTCATATCAATGGAGAGAATACGGTCTCAATCACGAGGTCAAAAGAACTGAGGAGTAGTGGGCATGACCGTGGACGGCTGCAGTATTGAGGAATATCGACCAACCAGGATGCAATGGTCTAAACTGCATACCCGCAAACTTGATAAACTGAAAGCCTGGTGCAACTACGCGTGTGCCAAATAAAGAAACCAGAGAGCTCCGTTCGATGATGTATGGATGATGGATCGGTACCGTATTGTATGGCAGACTATGGACTATGGAGACATGCGGAGGGGCGCCCCGAGCGGAACGGACTGCCCTAAACCCTGATCACGTGCGGAGCCCGTCCACCTCTTGCTAAGCGAGAAATGGTGAAATTGACATCGCCTCTTCCGACCGACCCATTCAGCGAGATCGTCAGCCAGCAACAACGAAAACCGCAGCCAGTACGTATAGCACTACCATGATGAAGAGGGATATATTCAAGTCTGGGAAATCGCAAAACTAACATGCCGTTTTTTCCGCGCTCGTACAGTGCAGATGTAGGTCTTCCCCAGAGCAAAAGTCTTGAAGCCGTCACGAATACTTCCCAATGCCATACAACGCCATTCGATCTCGAAAAAAGGAGAAGAAACCGGGAACACCTTTGGAAAATGACATGGTGGAGGGAATTCCAGGAGGGGAAGAGAACAATTCGCTGACCAGTGGTTCTTTTCGAATTCCATAGTTTCGTCAAGACCCTCACGGGTAAGACCATTACCCTCGACGTCGAGTCGAGCGACACCATCGACAACGTCAAGACCAAGATCCAGGATAAGGAGGGTATCCCCCCGGATCAGCAGCGTCTCATCTTCGCTGGTAAGCAGCTCGAGGATGGCCGCACCCTGAGCGACTACAACATCCAGAAGGTATGAGCGACTCTTCCTCCGAAACATGATTCTTTTTCGCACATCGGTTCAGACGTTTAATGTTCGCTGCGCCTGGGGTCTCGGGGTTATTGGGTTGGAAAGGTGTTCTGGGGTATTCGATATGGAAAGCTACGGTCGCCTTGCGTCAATCTTTGGTGACGAATATCCTGTCTGGTTGATGATGGGGCGTTTGCTTGTCTCAAGTCCTTCGGGACCGCGTGCATCTTTACATTCCATTATCCTTGGAAGATTATCACCCTCGGAAACCTCACCCAGCGCTGCGAACCGCGAACGATCCGACCAGCATGTGCGATCAGGGAGGGAATTCCGTTGGCTAACGCAATGCTCGTCAAATAGGAGTCCACCCTTCACCTCGTCCTCCGTCTCCGTGGTGGTATCATCGAGCCCTCCCTCAAGGCCCTCGCCTCCAAGTACAACTGCGAGAAGTCCATCTGCCGCAAGTGCTACGTACGTTCCCACCCATTCCCTTCAGGATCGACCTCCCAGCGGCTACCTTTCACCTTCTCCGCGCAACCGACCAATCCATCTAACATGTCCCAAATAGGCTCGTCTCCCTCCCCGTGCCACCAACTGCCGCAAGAAGAAGTGCGGTCACACCAACCAGCTCCGCCCCAAGAAGAAGCTCAAGTAAACGATTCTCCTGTTACGGTTTTTCTGCGTTGCTGGGGCGAGGAAAGCGCTGCTGGGGTTGTTACGACCGGATTGCAACGTAGGGTATTACACGGCGTTGGAATGATAAAACATTATGGCCGAAGTCAAATGTCCATAGTTGGCTGCTCGGAAGAAGTTGCAATCGAAATACAATTGTAAAATTCAAATTCCCTTTGGTCCATTTTGATTTATTGTGGAGGGAAAAGTAGGAAAGGTACACATCATACCCGCAGTGCTGTCGCGCCGCTTTGGGAAAGTTGAAACAAACAAGAGAGGAAAACATACTTAACATTTGTCGCGCGCCACAACGGATTTGAAATAGCGTTTTTCAGAATAGGGAAAAGTCATGGACCTTTAACATGGGTGCTACCTGAGCACAAGCGTCTGAACTGGGGTCTAGATGCGGGCCCTTTTCCTGCTTTTCGATAAGATGTGACTTCCTGGGCCACTAATGACGCCCATGTTTTCTTTTTCCGTCTTTCCCCCACAGCCCTTCCCAGCCTAGAGCATGAGCATCTGCGCCTTGCCATCATTGTTATCATCGCCGTCGCTCTTGTTCTTCTTCGAGACCGGGCTTCCGTGACTGTATTTGCATTTTCATGTATTAGCAAGCCGTGCCAATTGTATCATGGAAGACCCAAGGATTCGTAGAAAAAGAGATGTGGAAAAGGAGGGAACTCACGCAAAGAACAAGATCTTGATGGCCAAGGCAAAGCCGGCATGCAGCAGGACGACCAGGATCAGCAGGATCCTGCTGGCCTTGGCGTCGGTGGCGCTGAGCACGGGGTAGAGGTTGCGCAGGAGGAAGAAGACGGACCAGCCGAAGCCGACGCCGACGAGGGCCCAGTTCAGGGCGGTGAGGGGGCTCCAGCTGACGAGGGCGACGGCGATCCAGACGAGGTTGGAGTAGCCGTAGAGCGCCCACGACTCGACCAGGTCGGCGCTGGAGCTGCCGAACCAGCGGAGCGCGCCCCAGAGAGCGACGGGGAGGACGCCCGTGTACCCGTACACCAGGCCCGCGGCGCCGGACAGCAGCGTGAAGTCGTAGGCGAAGTGCGCGTCGTCGTTGTTGCTCAGCCACTGCGAGATCGTGCCCGTCAAAAACAAAATCACCACCACCGTCGTCGCGATCCAGAACGGCCCGTACAGGTCCGGATTCCCCTCCAGCACGTCCAGGAAGTTGTTGCGCGGGTACACCGTCGCCACGCACCGCCGCAGCACCTCGTTCGTGTCCACGTCGAAGAACTGCGCGTAGTAGTGGATCGTCCACCACGTGTGCTTCGTCGGCGTGCCCCCCGGCGACCGGTCCCGCCGGCCGCCGCCGCTGCGCGAGGTGCTGTGGTCGCCTCCGCCGCCGCCTAGGAATGGGGTCGAGTCTTGTTGGATTTTGGCGGTGCGCGGGTCGTTCTCGAAGTCTGGATTTAGGGTAGGTGGTAAGTAGAGGGTTGGGGGTTGTGAAGATCTGCTATGGAGTTTGGCCTTACTCGAACGGTGGAATTCAAGGTCCTCCTGAAGGTCGGTGTGGCCGAGGTCGCCCTGTGCATTTGGTTAGAATGACATTAGCTGGGATTCCCTGGGATGACTGGCAATGTTCCCTCAGTGATGCAGTGGTGCATTGCTTACCTCGGCGTCCACGTCGACTACCACATCATAGCCCTGGTTTGCCATCGGGAGGAGGGCTGGTTTATTTGGAATTGTCAAGGGAAAGGTGGTTTCGTTGTGGTGGTGCAGGTTGCGGGAGTTCGTTGCAACTGAAGAGTACACATCAGCGAACAAGCAGCTCGGGAAAGCCACGCACCAGCCACCATTTATGTGGAGCTTGGCTCTCCATGCCGCCCGCTGCTGAAACCACTCAGCTACGTACTCGTATCAACGTCCGCATGGACAAGATGGCGAAATTTACTTTGCAATCATGCTGGATCTTGGGCCTGGGGGAATGTTCGGCCATACAATCACTTTTGTTATTTATACACTCATGTCCAAAAGTTCTATGCCAACGGGGAAATTAGTACTGTATAGTATACAGCTCTAGATACAACCATCATAGACAGTCCATCCTCCTCTATAGATATTCGGATGAGAAGAGACGGCACTATTGAGCTAGTCACAAATAGCCGCGGTGCTGCAATGTCGATTTGAATCGACCCAGATAGGACCAGATGGTACTGTCGAGTCCCTTGCGTCTTATATAGATCGACATCGCCCCAATCAAGACGGTGACGGCCACCGAACCGATTGTTCTCCTGTGGTTCCATAGGAACTCAACTGCCTTTTCTCTGCCCTCCTCGTAGCGTAGCTGCCGTGTTTGCTGTCTGAAGTATTTAAGAGCTTCATCTTTGCTATGAGTAGGCACGAGTCCCCTGGATGTCTTGAGGGCGCTGCATGATGGGACCTGCTTCCAAGCCCCGAATGGCAACGATTCCGGCGGATAGTCTTTGAAAAGTCGGACGGCAGCTAGGATCAACCCGTCAAGGTCTAGAGGATTGGGTAATTTTGATAGGGTGAAGTGGAGCATCTCTGGCTCTTCTTCGGGAATTTCAAGCAGTTCTTGCTTGCGGGAGAGAATGATCGCTGCGAAGAGGTATGCCGACACCACGGGTTCCTCAGCTAGCAGGAAATCGAACAGGCGAGCAATGTCGCTATACTCCTGGATATCATGTGCATACAAGGTCAAAGTCGCCGCGAGGGCAAAGAAGGGTTGGATCCCGGCAAGGTGGTGGCGTAATGACGAGTCGGCCAGCTCAATAATCGCCGGCAGTAGTTGTAAGTGTTTCAAGGCAGGAGAAAGAGTCGGGAGCATGTAGTCTCGGATCCGCAGGAGCGAGATCTGCGCAACGGCAGGAGCAGCCTCATGGCCGCCAAGCACAAGGTAGAGCACTTGCACGATATCATGGTACCCTTGGAAGTAGCACAGCATTGGATATTTCCGCAGAACTTGCTTGATGAGTTGAGAAAGCTCATCTTTCTTCCTCGAGATCTCCTCTTCAGAACCTATTCCAGTGATTAGTTGGCGAGGTGCTGAGTTGGCGAGGTGCTGAGTTGGCCGAGGGAAAGCATACCATCAGGGTAGTAGACGAAAGACCGATTTACATCTAGCTGGATCTGCTCCTCGTCCACATGCGGTGGCAGGTCTTCCCACCCCGTGAAGTCGTGAACAGACTCTCTTCGATCGCACTGAAGGAGAATGGGCCCTGAACAGGTCTGATGTCAGTCACGTAAGGCAGAGTTTCGAGATTACAGGGACTTACAAGCCACTCGTCTAATATCGTCATTTAAGAAGCCACCCTCAGAAGTTGCATAGGAAACCAATGCGTCGAAGTCACGCAGGTCGCATGCTTGGCGGATGGCGTTCGCCTTTTCAGTTGCACGAGCTTCAAGTGCCTCCTCAACCGACGAGTCGGTCGTATGCAGAGATTCCTCAGTTACTATGCTGCTCTGCTCCTTCTCGTCGACCGTGTCCGGGTCGCCCGCCGGCTCGCTGACCTGGGGCTGGTGATGATCCATTATTGCCGGGGCAGGCAATGGGATGTTGTGGCCAGCCTCGTCCAGTAACTCACCGTGCCGTTTGAGGCTAAAGGTGACAAAGATGTTGTATGGAGACGAGCTCAGGAAAGACAGACGGGGTCCGTCCGATAATGTACTAAGGCGATTATCTATAAATCCACCTCAATGCGCACTAGGCAAGACCGGCAAATGGAGATACTTTGCATGCAGATGACGATCGAACCTCAAGTCATTTCGATAAGTCGGCTTATTGTCAGTCTATGTTTGGGCAAGAGGAACCCTACAGTGCCAGCCTGATGCCATCGGGTACTGGATTAAAGAAGATAGTTGGAAGAAATGTTCCAAGGAAAAAGAGACGAGTGGTCTTTGACATCCGCGGAAGTGGCTGCAATCGAATCCCAAAGGAGATGTTTTGAAGCCTTGCAGCCTTAGGCCAAGAGGCTGCACCCTCCGACCGCCCAAAGAAGAAGTAAGGGAAGCCGCAGGCATCGAACAACTACGGAGTTAGTCTAAGTTACGGAGTACCTAGTAATGATCCGCGTCAACCGTCAACCCCTCCGGCAAGTTGTGCACATCACGTCACTATCTTCGCCCTTGTCATTGGTAAGGCTGGACAATAAATAGAGTCTACCATCAATCGATTGATTTTTATTTCTCCTGTATCTGTCAGTTATAGCCTTGACCTGGCCAGGAGACTGAGCGCACTCCTTCACCATGCGTGCCTGAAAGCACAGCTGCAAGTTTGGAGGTAGCGAGCGGCCTATGGCATCATACCTACCAGAACTAAACATACTTACCCGCTAGTCGATTCTCCCACAATCTGCCCGCGCTGGGATTTCGCGGTTAGCAACTGCAGCCAAAACCGCAAGGCTGACGCCCAATTCCTTTAATCTCAGACACGATTGAGATTGACCGGATCACGGGATCACGGCTTGGGCGACACTCAACAATATTATGAGACACTGATATCGTTCCTATTATCAGCGCGCAGCAAGTGGTGTCTGCAGACCCTTGCATCGTAGGTTTTCTTTCCCCCCCCCCCCCCACAAAGAACATGTGTTGATCTGTTTCAGAATTAGCTCACGGATTAGCTACAACATATTATTCCTCCTTTGCATGACGGCTATTCATGTTTCTGCAGATCGTTTCTTCCAGCTACATTTGCGGAGAGACCTCGCGTTCGCTGTCCACTCAGTCTTCGGCTTTTGCTCTACTCGTTTTCGGAGTGGCATGTGGTTCCTGGACTGTCTTGAGCATGGTTAAGGCAGGAC